AGAAAGAAAGAAAGAAAGAAAGAAAGAAAGAAAGAAAGAAAGAAAGAAAGAAAGAAAGAAAGAAAGAAAGAAAGAAAGAAAGAAAGAAGAAAAAAGGAAACCATTCCTGGGGTATTTTATTTATTTCCCCCAGCAGACCTTTGTGTCAGGCCACAGTAGAGCATAGTCACACTCTTGAAGACAACACAGGTATGAATGTCACAGGGCGGTTGCCCCTCAGCGTCTCTCTTTACCCCTTGTTGGTTTGAGGCCGGGTCATACAGCCATAGGCTGGCCTTGAACTCACGCTGGCCCTCTTGCCTCAGCTTTGTGAGTTGCTGGGATTCTGAGCATGCTCCACTACAGTCAGTTCCCATATCATTCTTGCACCTCTGAAGACACCAGAAACTTCCTTTCACCCTTCCTGCTTGGGGGCTGGAAACCAACGCAGGCCCCTCGCAGAGAGCTTGTGAGGCCTGTGAGCTGTCAACGTCCTCATGTTCTGTGGCCCATCAGGGAAGCCGCCGTGGCCTGCCACTCACTGTAGAGCCACGCGGAAGGAAATGGCTGGTGTGTCTTAAGTACTTAGTGTGCACCAGACCCTCCAAGATCCCCGGGTGAATATTCTCGCTAATGCTCCTGACATAATGACTGCAATTCTTATCCATCTTTTACAGATGTAATCACTGAGGCAGAGAATGGCTACCTGATTTTTCCAAGATCATACGGTTAATAGCTGTTATCGGGATTCAAATTATTGACGCTAACCTATTCCCTGAGACCTGTTCTTCATCACAGTGTTCTCCTGCTTCACAAGCATAGCAGTAGCCTCACCAGGTATCGCTGAGACTTGCCTTTTAACAACAAAATGAATTTTTGTAAGACAGGTTGCAGCCCAATTGTGACTTTTGTTTCAAAATAATTGTCAGAATACATCCCTGACCTTGACCTAAATATCAAAAATAAATTGGAATCATATTTTCAGGAATTTTGTTCTCACAAACAGATTTTGAAAAAAAATGTGTCTTATCAATTCTTTAAGTCCCTTCTAACACTAAGTGGAGCCAAGATGTATGTACACACGAACGTACATACAGCTTCTTACTTCTCCCACAATTTAAATGGCTACCATTCTAACATAATGAGAAAAAGACAGTATGTGACCCAGTTATTTCCAAGTATCAGAGTTATTGATGAGAAAAAAAAAAAAAAAAGACAGGAGAGCTGAGAAAACTTGTCAATCACTAATCGTTAATGAAGCTAAATTAGTGCCATGTGATATTAAGATGTTTAAGCTGAGAAAAGCCCAGTGAATTACAGCACCCATCCCCTCCTCATTCTGGAACTTTCTAATAAAATACAAGTAGAACTGTGGGGGCAGGGAAAGAAATGAAAATGTCTGTAGAAAAGTACTTCTGGGGGAAGGCTCCCTAACATGATTATATGTTCTTAGCTGTGCAAATTAAGGACTCAAATTTCTCTCCTTAGATGCCCCCATCATGAATACCAAAGTCATGATTTTAAATGCAGTATAATTTACAAAGCGCAATCAACACCAGACAGAGTTAAATGTTACTTTGTTACTGTGACTATTTTTAGCTTTGATAACCCCTCATGTTTATCTCTGCAAGGAGCAAGTGGCTTTAGGGGTGATGTTAAATATCGCTTTATCCAAAAAGAGAAAAAATTCAACAGTGAAACATCTAAGCAGCACAATAGCCTAAGATGATGCGTACATTTTGTAATAAAGCAAAAATACCTCCTTGATTAGATTCTGTAATTTCATGAGTGACATCATCTTTACTTGAATAACACAAGATGCATAGAACCTAACAATGTTCGGGAAAGTAGAAAGAATTACCAGGAATGTAAGAAGACAGCTTCCTCATTTATTTGTCCCGGATTAATAACAATTAAACGGCCTGATTTCTCCCAGATAAAGCTTTGTCACATTTTGCTCAGCAATTCGGAGTTTATAGAAATCTTCTCCCAGATACGGTTTTTTTTTAATCAGTACTTTATAACACCTAACATACCGTGCATTGGGCTAGAAAGAATGGTGGTAACATCTTTTGATGTTCTTATATTTCATCATCATATTTAAAATCACAGTAACAGCATTTGCATATATACAAGAGTGTGCATACATTTCCTTGATTGGGTTTCTTCACCCACTGGGGGTGGAGAAACAATTTTAAAAATCACTGCATTGAGGAAAACAGCCATCTTGGCTGGGGCTTCTCAGCTGCCTGTTTAGGGGCAAAGACAGAGCTCATCCAAGCAAACTTTCTTTTTCATGTCTCACTCTTCTGTATCCTTCCTGTCTCCTTTATTATGCACCTCACCAAGCCTTCGAAACTGTAGCTGGGAAGGCACTTGCTCATTTTTTTTTTTTTTTCTGACTTCACATTTAACAGAATTTTTGTTTTTAGCTGCATCACAAGCAATCTCTTTCAGGGGTTGTGGTGGGGTGGGATGTGCAGAGACGTGTTCTGTGAGCTTCTGCAAAGGGTGAGCAGTCTGTCCAGTGTACCTTCTGTTTGTCACTCAGTAGGAATAAAGAATCCTGTTACCTACAAAAGTATTAGGAAAGTGCTCCCAGCTGAAAGCATTTACCCAATTCCAATTGTTCAAAAGTCTAAAATGCTAAGGAAGATACTCTTCCAGGAGCTACTGTTTAAAACAGTGCAATCCCTGTTCAGAGTGAAATCTTGGTATTTAGAAATCTGAGTTAGTTTTTAAAATAATAACTGTGTATCCAAAAAGGCATTCCAAAGAAGCATTCTTATGCCAAGCATATGTTTTTAATTTTAATAGCATTGGCTTACCTAAGTAAATATGTAGACCCTAATAATTGTGCCTTACATGTTGATAGTTTTGAATATTATTTTTGTTTTAGCTTGCAAAAAGATTGCTGAATAATAATGTAGAAAATGCAGTATCTGTCAGTATCAAATTGCTGTGGTTTATTGGAATTGCAAAATACTGTAGTTAAAAAAAAGTTGTGTTGAAAACTAATAATTGAAAACTGCCCTGATTTTAAAAGAAATGAATATAGCCATATCCTTATAGGATAATGTCAAATAGAAAGAAATCATGTTCCCATACAATTGTGTTTGTTGGCATTTATGTGAGAATAATAATGCCTTACGGTTATTTTCATAGTTGTTCACTTAACGTGGGATTAACTTCAACATCTTCATAATTATCTGAGATCACCCAATTGAAAGTGGTATGGTAAAAACATGTTAATGGTTACGACACCCTTGCCATCTTAATACCAAACAGATTAACACACATGAAAGTAATAGTATAATTTGGACGTGGAATAATATGCCAGACCAATTCTTATAGTGAAAAGAGAATTCTTATGAAATGGTACCCTTTCTAACTACTGCTTCCTATTCCTTGGGATATTAATGCGATCCGTTGCCTGGACAATGATATAGGAAACATGCCTGGGTACATGTGACTCTGTGGACTTCAGATATGGTTCTTCCACTTTGTCACTGCAGAATTTATGAAGCCAACAGTCCTGAGATTTGCCTTAGTTAAGACTCATAGCATGCTACATTGAAGGTATAATCTAGCTGGGATCATAAACTGAAAAGGAAAAAAATGTTTTTAATTGTGGGGAAAAAAAGATTGCTTATTAGCCATAGTGGCTGTGAGTTTAGTTTATGATCAACCAACAAAAAGAGACTGTACCTTACACATTCTTAAATAATATGGTTCATGTCAGTATAGAAGCCAGAGTCACATACAAATCTCTTCCTCAACTTCCCCTACTGCAAAAACCACATGAAAGGAAAACAGCTGTCTGTTTGCAAAGTGATATGAAGTCATAACTACTCAAGTCACACCCGTCTTTCTTGAAGCCATATAACGAGTGGATCTTGCATCCAAGACCTCACTATTTAATAATCCTTGTTACACGTGATAAACATCAGAATGGCGCGTGAAATCTCGGAATGCAGGTGTCTCCCCGGCAGGGATGGAAGTTGACAGTGCCTTCCAGTTCCAGCCGTGCTGGAAAAGGGGGAGTGGAGGGATTTAAATCATGTTGTTTCCACTTATGCAGGGAGAATCCATAAAAAGAGATTTATTATTGTATTTTCTGTTTGAAATGTAATATTTGCTATTTTTCTACTCCAAAAGTGCTCCTCGGTATAGAGCAGAGTAAATATTACAATTGCGCCTCACCAGCAGCCAAGATTTAATTGTCTGTGAAATATAGGGCTTAGTGACTGACTTAACTACCGTTCTGCGGACACAAACGAGGCTCCCAGCACCGGAGGGAAGGCACTCGGAGGCTACCCCAGAAAGAAAGAAAAGTGAGCTAGAGGCCTCCAGCCACATGTGTGGAAAAGCCTCTCCTAGGACCATGGGGCTTGGTTCTTGCAACAGATTTAAAGTAACTATGTACAAAAAAAAAAAATTCAAACAAGAACACCTAGGGCAAATACAACACGCCACGCTAGCGAGCAGTTTAACAGCGAGGAAGCAGAGGAAAATCCAGAACCGCTAACACTGTCCTGTGCTTTAGAAAACGTTAGGAGGATAGGAGAGAGGGGAAGAGCAGCTGGGGACCGAAAGGGAGCTGAAGACACAACGCTGGCTTCCATGTGTGGATTCTACGTTTTATTATTGTTGCATACACTTCGGTTGCCCAGCCAGGAACCTAGAAAGCCGGTGTTTACCCCCACCTTGCGCGCCCTTTGCACAGGGGTCTAGGCTAGGGCTCCACCAAGCCCTAGCCACCGACCGGGCCACCCCTGTCCGCGCCACCCCACCCCCACCCCGCCTCTCCCAGCACTGGCTCCAGGGTCGCTTCCTCCAGCGGGCTCTCGGGGTGCAGAGGAATCAGCGGACCGCAGCAAATTTGCCCCGGTGGCACCAGAGGCACAAGCCAAGCCCCGTAATTGCAAAGCAAACAAGGCTGAAACGGTGGATTCGCCTCCATCGTGACAAGATCTACGCTTTTGCCGCCAATTTGTTTGTGCAGCTCTATTTCAGGGCACTTGATTGAGGAAATGTTGAAAATAGCGGTGAGGGTTTCCCTAATGAGACCGGTGGGGGTGGGGGGGTGGGGGGGGAGAAGTGGCCTTCCCTCAGCACCAGGGGCTCGGAGGTGAGCTAGAGAGGCAGCCGGGTTAACCCCTTCCTGCCCGCATCGGGCGAAAAGTTCTCGGAGCCACCTAGGGGGAAGGTGCGGGTCCACGGTTCCCAGCAGCCGTCTTTCCCGGCCTGAATGTGGTGAACTCGCCTCCTGCTGCGGGTCCCACAGAGGGGCATGGGGATCGAATGAGATGTGGCCAGAATAGAAGGGAAGAGACCCAGCACTGGTCGTAGGGCCTGGACCACAGGAGGTCTGTAAGGCCCTAACAGCTTCTGCTGCTCCCCCTGCCCCGGCAGCGCCCGGGGAGCATTGAGCATTGAGGATGCAGCGACCTCCCCTAGACCACGACTTTTGCTGCTCGAGGCCAACGAAGCAGGATAAAGCGGGTCGGAGAGACCAGATGCCCAAAGTTAGGCCGCACCGGAAAGGCGCACTTGGCCCGCCGACGCCCAAGGCTGTCGGGCTGGATCTTTAGGCAGCTAGATCCAGAGGGGAATTTAAAATAAAACTAAACAATTAAATAAAAATTAGCAAATAAAATAAAATAAACGAAGATGCAGGGGGAAATACGTGAATAATTAATTGAGCTCAGCCTGGTATCAGACAACTCTCTCGAGGGTGCCTTGGTCTGTTTAATCTAGCTCTCAGCCTCCAGTTCTGTTTCCTTTCCACCATTCTTTCAACGGAGAGAGAAACTAACTAAGGTACCAAACACTGACCACCGCGATGAAGAGTTGAGGCGGCCTTGGCTACCTCTGACTCTTGAGTTTGGGGTACTTGGAATGGGTACCAGAGAAGCCAAGCCAGGATGGTCCTGCAGCCTCCAAGCCAGATTGATCTGGAAGATACTTGCCCCAGTGCCCGCAAAGGCTTGAGGTTGAAGGTGTCTGTTCCTTCCTAAATGACTTCCAAGTCGCTTCCCAGCTCTAATGGCCTTCAAAATAGAATAAAAACCTGATTGCAATTAGAATGTCCAGGTTTCTCTAAATCGCCTTCCCACCAGCTGGTTGGGGGCATCTTTTTGTGTGAAGCATTCGTTGTGTTTTTAGAGGACGCGAGAAGCGAAGGCTGTGTCATGTGAGAACTGCGTGTATGCATGCATGACCCCACCAGAAATTAGTTAAGGGAATGGGAGGCTTGGTGTGGGTACAGAAGGAAAACCTATCATCGGAAGTCCTCCTGTGAAGTGGGAGCACCCAGGAAGGCCCGAGAGACAGCAATGGAGTGTGGATTCTTCGCCAGCTTGGGAAGGTGGGCCATATTTGTCAAAGTGGTTGGCAAGTTAAGGGGTGCCAGACCCACATTTGGCGACAATGTGAGGGTCTGTCTACCGCCAGCATCCATCTCACGCTCCCCTTGTAACTTGGAGAATGGCGGGTTGATCCATTGCGGAGCCAAAATTCCAACCCGGCTTAACACTGAAAGCCCCAGTTTTGGAAGTTGGTTGGCTTTGACCAGCTCGGTAAGCTCTATCCAAGAGAACTGTCGAGGGCAGAGACAGTAACACGACACTAGGGGCGCTCTCACCAGAGAGCCTGACTGCTCCAGCCCTTCAGTCCCGGCTCTTTTCCCTGGGGTCTAATCTGAGATGTACCTTGGCCAATCTGAAGTTTCTGTCTGAAGTCACACTCTGCTGTAGAGGGCAAAAGAAAATCCCCCAGGAGGTGAAGAAGGCTGGTTTCGTTGTTCTTGCTGAAGAATCGGCTATGCCTTCTGTCAGGGGAAAAAAAAAAAAAAAAAAAGCACCAGTCACACGGATTTAGTGAAGTATCCAAACAGCATTCTAAATGGAATTCTGCTTTTCCTGTATGCAAATAATTGCTTCGTTTGAAGTTGGATGCTTTGCAAGAAAAATGCAGTTCCACTTTTTAATTCCTCGAGTTTGGGGCCTGTGTTGACTTAAATGAGCACTCACACAAGTACTAAAAAGAAAACCATTCTCTTTTGGAAAATGGAACAAAGTAGCGCTTCTCCAATCAGAGTGCAGATACATAATCTGTAACAACAAATTTGCCTCCTGGTGCTGCGTATTTCCAGCATGCATCCTGACTTCTCTGTTTATATTATAACTTTGCTGCCTGCAATTATTTTTATTTTAATTTTCTGTCACTTTAACAGAAACCAGATCCTTTCCTTTTAATGTTTTGTACACAACATGTTCATTTTGATAAGATGTTCTTTCCTATCCTCTTTTAGCTTGCCTTCCCTTGTTTAGAGTTCTGTATCAGAAGTTTCTAATATTTCTCCCTCTTCTTTTTTAAGAATTTGTCCCTGTCTTGCTTTATTTGTTTGTGTGAAATTTAGTTTGAAAGGAGATCAGAGAGAGCAGGAGGGGTTTGTAATAAGAGAATGACCGAATGACCCAAAGGCTGATTATCTATCATTAACTGGAGACTCGGTGTACCCAAATTACCAGGAAGACCTCAGTCTGCCGGATCCTTACCCGGCCAGAAAGGCAACCGTGGAATGCACACACTAAAAAAGACTTGAGACATTGCAAGTGAGGACGTTGCTTAAACATATTTTCTTAAAGGAATTCTCCTTCAAAACTCAGCTTCAGTTGAAGGAATAAATCACTACATCGTAACATGTTTTGTACAGGTAAAAACCGGTACTCGGAGACTAACTTTAAAATTTTTTTGCAAGTAACTCTCTTGTATTGTTTCATTAGAACCAAAATTGCAGGTAATTGTCTAAGCGCCAGAGAATATTGAGAAATCAAGACAGGCTGCTTTTGATCTGCTCAACCCAAGGCTTGTAAAAATCGAAGTTTGCCATTAATATTGACAATAAAAGTGTTTCTTTTTGTTAACCTGAAACCTAACCATCCTGGCTCAAGTCCCTTGTCTATAAGCAAAGCCTGTAGAAGAATGCAGAAAAGGCTTGGAAGGAGCTGTCAGAGTTAAAGAAATCCATCTATGTGGTTCTGCAAATGAAGCCACATTGTGGAGACTTCCCAGAAATGCCCCCAACATGGCAGTTAGAACTGGGAAGAAGCAGGACTCAAGTCACAAGGAAATTCTTCAGTCCCACAAATGAAGCCCCACATGTTAAGCAGCCATTTCATTTCTATTTTATTCTGAACCCCAGACTGTATTGCATGTCAGCTATCCATTGCTGGCTAGTTCCAAGGGGTGTGAACGTAAAATCACACTTATATTCTCATCTGAATTCTGAATGGTTTCTTTACAGCTTGGAAGAAAAGAATTCTCTTTATCGTTCATTTTTATTTTATTATTGTGTTGTTTTGTGGGGTTTTGTTGTTGTTAAGTGCTGGGAGTGAAAGCCAGGGTGGGTCTACCCCTCAAATATATGTCCAGCTCTGAAATATTTCTATGGGTATGCAGTTCTTTGAGTGTGTTGTATAAATCCTAAGGGACAGATTGTCTTGTAACACTTTTATTCTAAACCCAGTATTTTACTACAAAGTAGCAAAGATCAGATTTATCATACTTCTTGAGACTACTATAATAACAACTCAAATGTTATATATAATGTTATTATATATAATGCTATCTTTTTGCAATGCCTGTTCACAGCACATTTTATGTTGCCTTTACTCTAAATGAGTATTTTTAATTTACAGATACCTATCAAAGTGCCAAATCCTTCTTCATCAATGAGAACTCTCCACAACAGCAACCTATCTTCCCGTTAACACAAGAATGTAGTCATGGGTTATTGGAGAAAATAGAAGATCTACTGCTGAAGTTTTCCATACAGAACTTAAGGATGAATTAGTGCCTCATTCTTCCACAAGTCTCTGGTTCAATGACAGGGACACATAATGTATAAACCAACACTTCTGGAGAGTAAGTTATGGGGGAAGAAAGAAGGGAAGGGGGAAGAGGAAGGACCAGAGAAAATAAGGGGAGAAATGTCCAGGCACTTAGCAAGTCCTGGCTCTCCGGTCTGCTAGACCCAACTGAACTGAAGAGTTCATTTTTTAAACTCATCCTCGCCATAGTCACCCCTGCCTTTGAACCAGCCCCTCCCTCCTCCATCTGCAAAGATCTGTTTTGAATGGAGAACAGGGAGGGAAGGGGGTCTACTCTCCAAATGCCCCACCCTCCCCCAAAATCCAAGAAGAAATTGTTCAGAAGAAAATAAAACCACATGAGAGTCAAGGGCACCTTTTTCTGTCCTTTTTTTTTTTTTTTTTTTTTTTAAGCAGACATAAAAGTTCAATCGTCTGGATTCCCTACTTTGTGGATTTCTACTTTGAAACATTGTTGCCATGCCTGTAGACGACTACCACAAAAGGAAAAGACCAAAGCCCTATCAGAGGGAGACCTTTGCTGCCACTCACCCCGTAGGCCTTGTTCTGGATGTCCTAAAACATGGTGGGACTAAGTGGCTAACAAGTAATATGACACAGTGCCCCCCACTAGAGAAAGGCCTGCCGGGCAACCAGAGTGTGGCAGAAACTTGTCTTTGGAGCAGGTGAGGCAGAGGTTACATCTTCCATAACAGGTTCATTTTCCCCATCGCTTTCTGGGTTTGCTATCTCTTTTGGATTCTTAGCACATTTCTGGAGTTCACCTTGTTACAGATATTTAAAGGAATGTGCACAGTCAATGCTCTACTACTTCGGTTAGGAAAGGAAGGTTAAGAAGGGGCTTGAAAGATGATGAAGGGAACTGAGCCATAATTCCTGTAAATATAAAATGTGTGTTTATGGCCTTCTGGCCTGCTTCTTTTCAGATCCAGTTTATTTTGAGCACTCGTGAGCAAAGCACAAGACACAAAATTGCCCTTGCCTTTGAAATAATAAATACCCTGAAAAGATCTGTATTTCCCCTAAAAAGAGACTGGAGTTTAAAAAAATATTTAGTTTAAACAGAGCTTAAAAGTAGTATCTCACAGGGGCAAAATGTTTGCAAGGAGGTCCCCAGTCTTTTTTTCCCCTTCCTCTTCTCTCTCTCTTTGATTTCTTTTCCAGAGAAAGAAAGTTGGTAGTAAAAGAAAAGAGACAAGTGACATGGACACAAAATAAATGTTTAAAACCAGCCTTGTTTGTTTGGCTGAAAGGAGATGTAACCTGTAACACTGCGGATACACTGTGAGCATCAGAGAAGGCTATGGACGCAGAGTCTCCAACACTACCATGAATCTGGACTGCCTTCCTCTGATGGTGTGCAGACCCAGGACCACTCAGCCCTCAGCCTCCCAGGAGAGAGATGACCCTCTGTGGGGTTCCCCCCCACACGCCTCCCGGCACCCAGATTGGCCCACAACCAGCATCATCACAGTACCTTCGTCTTTGGGGATTCTAAATGTGTACCCTAAGGGAGCCATTCACCAGAGGCCTTACTAGTACAGCCCAAGAGTAAGGGAGCAAGCAGACATCTAAGCTGGAAACTATGCACCTGCCTTCTCCTATCTTCTCCCTGACCACCAGTGCCAACTCCCCACCCCCCCGCCCCCGCCCCCGCCCCAACACATCTATCTCAGGACCACCCCTGCCTGGGGACAGGCCATATAAAATAGGGACAAATTTAAAATAGCATCTTAGCTTGGTAGTTTTGCAAAGCAGCAAGCTAACCCAGCATTCCAAGATTCCTGCAAGTAAAATGTGTCAAAAAAAAAAAAAGACACTAAAAAGAAAAAGGTGAGCAAACCCATTAAGGACACAGCTCAGTTAGTTAGAGCCAGCCAGCTACCACTGAAACTTGCCCATTTGTCCTCTCTCTGGCTACCTCCAGACTGCCATTCTAAAGGTCCAGTCTCTGGGTTTGGGTTTCTGAAATACATGAAGCTTCAGACCTCTGGATTGTACTTCTTAACTGATAATGGTGCTGTCAGTGAGGAAAGATGGTCAGATTAGCGTCTTTTAAGGGTCCCTTTCTGTCCCATGTTGTCTGTTTCTTTTATCACGTGTGACGAAGCTATCTGAAGCCATGCATCCGTACCCCTACTTTTTGATGTTGTTATTGGTTTCAATTTAAAAAGCATAAAAAGGGACTAAAAGTAGCAAGTTCTGGTCCCTGGCTTCTGGGGCTACTGGGGAACAGATAGCCTATCCATCGCTAGCCCTATTTTTCTCTGGATTCTTCTTCTATCTTCCAACCCCCTAAAAGTCTACGTCCTAAGGCAGCCAAGAATTTCCCTTCCCTCATTGTTTTTTATCTATTGCCGGCCACAGTGCAATCATCTAACTTAGTCTACCTGTTCCCAAGGCCTACATGTTTGTATAAACAGACTTTTTTTTTAATGTATCAAATGTCAGAGGATTGAACTACCAGTATTTACTGGTTCAGGATACCCTTCTGGTGAAAATGTAAACAGAATCCTCCACCACACTACCCCTATTCTTTCGGTGAAGAAGTGGTTCTTTAGAAAACTCTCTCTGTACCCCAAACTACAGACCACAGACCCACCCAAGCTGAGAAGCAGAGCTGTGTGTAGGTCATTATTTGTTCTGCTACCAAACGCAAGCCTCTGGGCTACCCAGCAAGACTGGCTCCAGGCTTTTTCCCATCCAGGATTTGTTCTCTGTCTTAAGACCGTCTACTGGGGGCTGGCGAGGGAAACTGACCCCTTATGGACAGAAGATAGGCCACAGTCTTTGAGTTTCCCCTTTCTCTGCCACCTAGCTCCATACGTCTACATTTTAAAGACTATCACTCTGCAGTAGCCAGCAAGGTCTCAGCCAGGAGACCATGGGAGCAACCAGTTGGGAGACCTCCAACTCCTGTCGATCTGGCCTTCCAGACAGAACCACAGTCAGCCAGACTCGGGGGTCACGGAAAGGACTGTCCACGCGGAGTCCTTAGGCTGGGGTTCTCTTTGATGTCTGGAACCAGACTGCCCCTGCTTCCAAAGAGCGATGCCCCAGGTGGAGTCACTGGTGTGCCCTCTGCTTGCCTAGTGAGGTCCAAGGCCAGCCCTCGACTTGATCAAATCTACAGCCTACAGGCTCTCTGTTGCACACCCTGTTGCACACCGACCTCCATCATGCAGGTAAGCAGAGGGAATCTTCACACACGCTCGGCCTCTCCCAGAGTCTGCGGCCAAGGCCGCACGCAGGGTGATTTTGGCTTCTTCCACTGACCGCCTCCACCCGCGCTGCTAGGGGTCTGCCTGGGTGCCCCGCGGCCAGCTCACTTACAAGTAGAGATCCATTTTCCGTTCTAATGCGTTCAAGATCGCCAAGGCAAGCAGTCTAAACATCCACGAGCCGTCCTCCTCGCCTGCCTCTTAAACAGCCGTTTAATGGCTCCCCTCCGATAACTAAACCTGCTTTCCACAGATGCCCGCTTTTATGGGGGAGGCAGGAATGCAGAGATATATTTATATGTTTGTTCATAAAAACTAGAAAATAAGCTCCGAACACGCTGTAAAAACTATTCAGTTACTTACCAAACAGGCTAGTTAAACCAGCGGAACACGGGTACTCGCCACACCACAGATTCGAGAAATCGAGGTGCCCCACTTTGAAAACCTCCAAAGTCTGTGTTTGGGGTAGCTGCACCAGAAGAATATGCAAATGAGTGCCTTTACAGACTGAAGTCCCCAGCCACCGTCGCTGCAAGTTCTCACTAGAACCCGAGTCATCCAAATCAGTTCCTAAGCAAAAAGGCCACTGAAATTTTTCCAACGTGTGCCGGGTCCAAGAAACGCTGAGTACCAGCCTGGTCAGAGAGACTCGGCTGCTCCCAACCGCACCTTAATGGGGATCCGTACCGCCGCCTCCAGACTCTTGTCGCCACCACACCGCCCCCCTCCCCGCGCCCCCATCCTTCCCCGGTCCAGCACAAGACCACTACGAGAGGCTGCCTGCTCAGTTTTGTGCCTCAGTTACCTACAAAAATACACTTAAAAAGAGCATTATCCGCGTTCCTTCTCTTCACCCCACCCCTGTAACCAGAAAAGAAAGTGAAATAATACTGTACCTGGTTTGAGATTCTTCAATATTGGGGGGGGGGGTGTTTTAATAGTGAAGCATCTGTTAAACACTTGCATTAACCTATGGCTGATAAAAAGTTTTTTTTTAACCCTGCCCCCCCCCCGTTTTAATTATCTTATGGTTATGAGTGGACAACCAATCCTAGAAGAGGACCTCGGCAATTAGCAACGTGAACATCAAAAAGTTTTATTGCGGAGAGCGCGAGGCGCCGCCCCCGCCGCCCCGGGATTGGCGTGAGGAGCCTCTGACGACATATATTAACCCGAGCGGCCCTAAAGATGTAGCTGTACATGGAGATCTTGCTGGGAAAATCGGCTTGCTCCCCTCACCGCGTCCAGCCCAGGAGAACCGCCGCCGCCACCACCACCCGGGAGCTCCCACGGCCACTGTGCACACCCCTCCGAGAGCCCAGTCGCCGCTTCCCAGCACCGAGGCGCCTTCAGGGGCCCCAGATTCTTGTCGCGAGAGGAGAGGATCTTAAGAAAATGGATGCGCTGAGACCTCTCTGCAAAGCCTCCAAGAGAGCCTGAGAGGAGCGAGGACCGACACGTTACTCGCAGCTTTAAAAACAAATCACACTCAAGGACCACAACAACAACCAAAAAAAAAAAAAAATTGTATTAAAACAATAAGCGCCCAAGAACCCAGATCGGGCTGGTGGGGGAGGGGAAGGGGCAGGAAGGGGAGGGTCGCACCGAGGTAGCTCCACGCTGAGCAGCGACCCCCGCCGCCTCCCGGCATCGCCGGGCCGGCTCTTCCAGCCCCGGCTCGGACTCGCCCGGGATTCCAGGTCAGCTTCGGAGGAGTCAGGAGTCGGGGTGCCCCGGCATCTGCGGGACAGCCTCGCCGGAGCCGGCCGGCACTTTTGCATGAGCACCGGAGCGCTCTGCCCAGACGCTGCAGCCGGGAAAGCGGGAGCCGGCGCGCGGGCCGTAGAGCCGGGCAGGCAGCGGCGGCGG